GTTTTTTCTCCTTGGGGAGTAAAAACAAACTCACGTGGCCCATAAAGTTGTGCGGTGGTGCTTTTGTCTCCTCTTTTTTACAGGTAAATCTATTTGTTTTGCTGAAAGTGGCCTCCAAGGGCCTCTCAGACCCGCTACTGCAGCTGCCCAGCGAGGAAGAGAAGCAGCGGTGCCACGAGCAGAAGCTCTAGAAACTGCAACCCGGATGAGAGGGGATTCCCCAACAGACCAATGTCCTATAGAGCCACCACGGCGCAGCCTGTTTGACTGACTGCTCGTAACACTAAACACAGTGCCCGTCATTTTACCACCAAAAATATTTTGCAAGACTTTTTTGCAAGAGATGATAAGCTCAGACAAAGTCTCACCCACCAGCTGGCAGCAATGCAATGTCCTATAGAGCCACCACGGTGCAGCCTGTTTGACTGACTGCTCATAACACTAAACACAGTGCCCGTCGTTTTACCACCAAAAATATTTTGCAAGACTTTTTTGCAAGAGATGATGAAAAGCTCAGACAAAGTCTCACCCACCAGCTGGCAGCAATAACACCCAGCTCAGCAAGTCCAGCAGGTGCCCGTGGTCTGTCCAGCTTCATCCCATAAAATAAATTTCAAGGAGATTCTTCAGGTATTTAAACCTGCAGAGAATTATTGCACTTTTGGCAGGGTTTGTATCCTTGTGCTTTTGGTGAGACAGCAGACACATTTAATCGCCAGACTTTTTTATTGCTTAAAAAATTACGTTGGGTCATTTTGAAACTTTGTTAGAGGAAAACTGGTAAATCAAAATGATTTTCAAAACCTTTTTTACATTGGTTATGCATTGTCAGCTCTTCAAATGCTGAATTATTCATCTTAACACTACTTTAATGGTTGGATCACAAGTGTTCAAAGGAAGAATGTTTCAGTCTGAACACTCAGGTTTTCATGAAAATACCTTCAAATACAATCTTAATGAAAACCTTTCAAACAACGAAGAATTTCAGGAGAAAAGCAAGTTTTCACGGAAGGTAAAATGAGCTAGACTGACTCAGCAGTGACCTGTCATTTCCTGCAAATCCAGCTGCATGTAAATAACAGCTTTTAATCACAGAGTGCCAATTAAGCCTGGTTTCTGCTTCTTCCAGCGGGATAAATCAGAAAAAAGGAATGTGTGTCAAGTGCAGGTAGCCCAGACTTAAAACTTCCATGGATTTTTCTGTGGGTAAATTAGCTGTCCCAAATTATAACAGACTTCTCTATTTATTTTCCTAATAGCAAAACATTGAGGGAAGCATTATTTCATTCTACCTTTTTGAAACTTGTCTGCCTTTGCAATTAAAGCTGAGCTCAACCCTAGAACAAGGGAAGGTGCAAGTTCAAGAGCAGTTTTTTTGATCTTCGGCATTAGTTACTCCTAAGCTCCTGAGCCCTTCAGTTTTCTTACTAGCAATGACAGGCCAGTTTCTGATTCATGAAGGTGGCAGAACGTAGACAAGCTGTGTAGGCCAGTTTCTGATTCATGATGAAGGTGGCAGAACGTAGACAAGCTGTTTTCAAGGAGGTGTCTCCAGGTCGAACAGTGGCTCCAAGCATTATGTCTGGCGTGGTTAAGTTCTGACAATGCTCTCTGCTCAGCCCAAGGCAAGAGCAAAAGCCACACAAGGGTCGTGTAGTTCACCAGGGCAGCAACATCAGACAGGGCTGTCGGCCTTCTCTAAGATCCATGGTAGGAAAATTACAAAATACACGCTTAAAACTTTCACACTTACTCCATTCCATGAGAACCTTAATATTCTTTCCAGGTACAGTTAAAAATAGTTGTATAAGAGTGTACGTATAAGAGTACTTGTCCCTTTCCTTCTCTTCCATTCAAATGTCTGCAAAGACATTTAAAGCCTCATTCTTGGATGCGTGGAAAGACATACACATATTGGACCAAAGTGAAAGACTAAACTTCCACGTGTCTGATTTTATAGGTAATGTGCATGCAGACAGACAAAACTGTCTGCTTCTGTCACCAACAAGTGAGGCAGGGCACGGGGTGCTAAGCAGGAGGTAGGGTACGCATGTCACCTTCATTTCTCAGGGCTGAGCTCCATCAATGACAGCAAAACCATGTAGCTTCTCCCTGGGGCACGAGACTCCTAGCTCTGTGCACAGGGACAGGTTCTGTGCTGAAAGTGCCCAGAACTGCATGGAATAGGAACGGCTGAAACTCAGGACAGCTCTGACAGGCGGCGTTCCTCAGGTTAAGGGATGCCCAGGCATGCTCGTGCCTGGATGGCAGGATGCCCCTTCTCAGCCTGAAAGCTTTCGGGTCAGACACAGTCACTCCCCTTCCCTGTCAAAAAGGGCCCATCCGAACTGCCCTATGACACTAGTCCTGACTGTGCCAGACCGTAATCCACCTCCAGAGGGCTCCCTATCATCATGTGTATTTTTATGAACATCACTTTAAGTAACAAATCTATCTGTGCCCAGCAGGCGCTACCATCTCTTGAGGGAGGGTCTGTCTTATTCCCCCCACCCACCTCCTCTGGTATCTCAGCTGTTTTAAAACATTATGCAAGAATTTGCACAGCCAAGAAAATGCTCCTTTAGGAGCACAGTGTGGAAGCCAGCCCGGATGGGGATGCATTAGAGTCGCTGCAAGCCTGCAGGATCCCCTTGTCTGCTTCTGCAGTTAGCGTTGCCTTCAGCACTCCAAGGAAGTGCTCAGACCACTTCTTCCCACCAGCAGGAAATATTTGCCTTAACCAGCACAGCCGTTTGCAAAATGAACAACTGCCCTCAAGGCTTTGCTGCCTGGGCTGCCATGAATCAGCCTCGCTTATGACTCAGAAAGTCACTATTTGGGGAACTCTCAAAAGTAGGTACGGAAACTACATGTACACACAGCCACTGGTCAGGAGAAATTAACAACATCAGTAATAAAATTATTTAGCATTTTGTTTGCACCAAGGTTTTATTCGATTCCAGCATGTAGAGTTTTATAATGCTTGCCGTGAGAGTAACTTTTCATATTTATTCTTGTTTTGGAGTCTCATTTACCATGACTTGAAGTAACTGAAAGCTCTGGCAGTTAATAAGGTTCTCTCTCTGAGAAAAAATAAAAATAAATAAAAAAGAGGAATCTATTTTTAACTCAGGAGAAGAAACCAAGAGATGCCCCTCTTGTAATCTTCTCTGTAAACAAGTTTAACCGTATTTGCGAGCTCAGAAAAGTCTGAAGAGATTACTATCATCAAATATTAACAGAAATTGAAAATAATGCCATTCAACACTTGAAAGCTTTCTGCCTATAAAGAATAAAAAGGAACATTTTCAGTTTGTTTTATCTGCATGGTGCTTTCCTGGAAGAAAAAAAAAAACCCACAACCCAAAGCTGTTCCTTCTATATCACCAGTTGAAAAGGAAACGATAAAAAAGTTATAGAAGGAAGTAATACATGAAGAAATCTAGCAACTGAGATGTTGTCACGTTTAAGTGCTATAGTGCTACCCAGATGATAAGCTGCAGTTCTAAACACCTCGCACTTCGTCTGATACAATGCACATACCACCTACATTACAAACCAATCTTCCTGTTCAAAAACCATAGTGGATACGTAGAAACTTTCCACATAGTGAGATTAACAAGTCTGACACAAACATAAAAAGAAATTTTGTGCCTTTATTGGAATGGTGTTAGGCTTTAAATACACCAATTTTGATCATCTGATTATTTGGTTTTAATTAGAAATGACACTACAGAACTGCAATATTGGTCCAACAGTCTCATCTTTACTTTTTTTTTTTTAAAGCAAGAGATAGAGTGAAAATGCACCGAGTAATCAGAAAGCACTAGCAGGCATTGGTTAATCCAAGATACTAGCTTCTCAGTTCCAAAAGCATTTGTATTGCATGGAACCCAGGATTTAGATTGGTCATAATTTGTAAGAACTAGTTTAATGAGTCGTAAGACTTGTTTTTAAATTTACTTTTAAGTAGGTGACTGGTAATTGTTTCCCCCTCAAATATTACAGTTTAATTTGTATTTTTCCTCAAAGTATAAAAAAGTATGAAATATAAACAAGCTCCTGCATTGCACCCATGAAAGGCTGCAACTGAAGCGTTAGAGAGCTGACTATCTACACACTGCCAAATCCCATCAAATCTTGGATAATTCATTAATATACAAAATATCAGGGCACAGAAAGAACTAAATCCACTTTTATGTTTTGTAACGCACAGTTTCAAATAATCAAATCTAAAGAAAAAAACAATCATTTTGGCTTTCCACTACATCCGCATGTTGAGACACTTATTAAAATACTCCCGTTTAACTGTGTTTGGTCTTTTTCTTATTGTCAAGTCATGTTTGTTATCTTAATACCGGCCACCGGACAAACAAGTAATCAGAGAGACGCCTCCTCCCAACCTCCCCAGCCCTGACCCCTCCAAGGTCAGCTTTAAGACATGACTCCAAACACGGGGTTGTGACGACAGATGCTAGGACCAATTTCTTCATAATCTTTTTTGGTATGGCATACTTGGTAGAACTCAGGCTGCGAGAGACAGAAAATCAATTAGTCAGCACTGTGCATACCATATTATAACAACGCAGATATTCATGTTGAAAATGAGGGGGGAAAGGGGCAAGAAATAGATAATTTGAAAATCCTGAAATTAGTATTACATCATAGCTAAAGACTGACGCGAACAACATATGTGGCCATGAAATCAAAATGGTACACTTGAAAATTCTCACACTGAAGGGAAAAAAAAAATAATTATGCTTTCATTAAATTTTTAAAGCCTAACTAAAAAACCTAAGGGGCAGGGATTATAACTTGTTTCTGAGGACTGTCAGAAACAGTCCAGTTCTCCAGTTGCATTTAAAGCAAAGGAGAGAAAAATGATTCCCAAAGCACACTTAAAAGAACTAAAGCTTCAGAGCCAACTTACTGTGGAAGCCAGCATAGATCCTCCAAACCAAACAGCGTATCTTTGCATATGGTGTGTAATGACTTGAACATCAATAGGCTTAGGCTATTCAAAATAAAGAGGGGGAAAAAAAGGAATACATTAAAATTCACTTTTGCAGGTAACAAAGTGTATCTTCCAAGACTGCTTTTCATAATTTGCTATTTTCTAAAATGCCAGATATGAAAATACACACTTTTACTACTCTGCTCTCCAATTTATCCCCTTTCAGTTTTCTGCTAAGTTTCTTGAGGAACTGTTAATTAACTGCAAGAGTAGACACACACTTAACCCTTTCCAAATTTAACATGTTTTTGAATTTCATAATAAAGCATTAGTTACAGACTGACTGAGAACTTATCAAGAATCAATGCTACCACAATTTTGCTTTTCCAAACTACAAAGCTCATTCTAGTTGGCCTCTTTGCTTCTATATCCAGACAAGTTTTCATCCCTCCCAATCGGAGTGGTTACAAAAGACTATATCCTAACCTGTACTTATCAAAAATGGCAGTGCATGTAATGGAATTTCAGCAAGGAAAAAAAATAAAAAAATCTATTCTAGTACAACAGTATTTTTTCTTTCCTCTTCAAAATGGAGATTCACCAACCATTTTCACATCAAAACTCTATCCTTTTATTAGATAAGAGTTTTGTGGTTCAGATCACCAAAATCAGATCAGCAGTGAAACAGAGTATCTGGGGAAAGAGCAAGTTAGCATTCTATTATGAAAGACTTATACCAATGTCTTCTATAGCTAGCCTTCTATTCACTACAAAAATATGAATCTCTATAAAGCTTCTAGTATTTCCTCTGAAACTTCCATTTTCATTAAAAGATACTGAAGTACATTATTTGTACATTTTCCAATTAATTAGACACTAAATAATGCTTATTAAGTGCATTGGCTACAAGAACTCACCTTCAGTCTGCCACCACTAAGCTCTTCACTAAGTTTCAGTCTGGCATCAACAGTCCTTTTTAAGTCTCGCTGTAAGCGGCGACCAAAGTCCCTGAACATGGTTGAGCCTCCAGAGAGGACGATATTCTGTTTTGAATATGTAGATATATATATTAAAAAGTTAAAACTGATTATCATTTAATTCTTGTCAGCTACTCCATCTGTAGCAGCATGATGGCACTTTGTATTTGAAAATAGTACAGGACACACATTTATTGCTTGCGAATACCTTGCCTCTTTAAAACACATAAAGGCAGTTACAAAAATTACTGATTGCTTCTGGAAACATAGACTTCCAACTGTACCCTATTCCAAGATTCTAAATATAGTTCTTAAAGTTACAGTTAACAGGTTTTTTACTTTGATCTAATGCTTAAAATCAACAGATTATGAATTCACAAATAATTTGTAAATGGTTTTAAACGCACAGCCAATTTTAACATTATATCCCACTGCACCCTCACTCATATTTCTCTTTTCCTGTATTTCTTTTAAGTAGAATTCAGTAGACAAACACCACATACTGAAACATACGTGCAAACATATATGAACAAAGCCTTTCACATATTAGACTCATTTTCAGAAAACCAGTGAATGCTTCTGTTTTTGAAGTTTAACTAAATTTCCAATAGCTATTTCAAAATAAGGCAAAATCCTTCAAAAACAAGTACTTTAAAAATACATAACATTATAACTACTGACCTTATAGAGAGGACGTCTAACATCAATGGGACAATTCTGAATAACTTCATCTACGACTTCTGAGATGGGTTGCGTAAAGTCAGGATTAGCAAACTAAGATCAAGAACAAAAAACAGAAAAAGGTCAGAGTTGAAACTAAAAAGAAGGGGAACAGAAGGAACTTTCCTACTGTGCTGAAGACATAGCACTAGCTAATAATGGAAATGGATGTGATTTTTTGCTGTTGTTTAAAAAAAGGTTTGAAAAGGTAATGCACCCATATTATCTATTTTGCCAGCTATTCTTATCTTGGTGACTGTAACAGATCAAGGAATACACACCCTATCCAGACACGGAGCAATGCAGCAAAACAGTCCAGCAAGAAGGAAAAGGTGTGACAGCAGAATATATAGTGATTAAAAGCAGACAAAAAAAGCATTATTCCCATTTTTCCTCAATATTATAGGCAAGACTAAGATCGACTGCACAAAGAGGCAAGAGGATAGCATATTTAAAGTCTCCTTGATTTAAACAGACACAGATAGGTACAAGAAATAATGTGGTAAAACCAAGCAATTTATTAAAAAAGGCAAGAAGAAAAAAATATTTTAAGTAATCCATCTAAGAGTTCCAAATACCATGCTGTGTTTAGATATAAATTTGTATACAGGTTATCAACGATCAAGAATCAAAACCACCCTAACTTATAACAATACCTGGCATTTATTTATAAACAAAGAGAAATTTAAATCAGGATAGCTGATTCTTCAGCAAGCTGCAAACACAACATGGTACCACTGCAAATATAATATGGTACCACTAAAATGTCCTTAACAAAAACTGAACACATTCAAATCAACTTACCTCAGGGTGAAAGAAAATCTCTGGTCCCAGGAATCTCTCATAGCCAACATCAATGGTAAATTCTTTCTTTGAGATAGCATTAATTCCAGTATACTGTTTAATCCACTTTGTACCATCTGTGTCATACTTGTTAAATTCTTTTACTAAGTCAGGACAGACGTAACTAAAGCGTTCCTGAAAAATAATCATATGCAGTTATAGTTATCTTAAGTATAGTAAAAGATATGGTACGAATAGTATTGAAAGCAGCACATCGTGCTGGGCTAAATTGTTTTTCTTCTGTTTTTCCCCTACAAAGTTCCGCAATAATGAGAAATGAGATCTAAAGTACATTGAAGAATTGCCATAGAAACTGGGTTTAAGTGTACTTTAGTTGAATACCTTTTAGAATAGCTTTGTACTACAAAAACAAAACAAAAATTCAGAAAGAGAGAAAGTAATTATAGCTCTTTACATTACATTTCCCAGCAAGAATGTGGGGGAGGTGGGAAGGAAATAGGGAAGGCTGCAATTCTAGATTAATATAAGCACAAAACCTTAAAGCATTACATGTCAAGATTTTTATATTTAGGATTACTTTAAAAGGTAATGACTTTAGGAGACTACTGTACTTTAGAAACTGTTAAAGACCCACACTAAGACAACCTAAGCATTTGCAACAGTCACGTTACCTTCACTGCTTTAGCTGTTTCCAAGGACTGTTCGGGAGGAATTCCTACTTCTCGTTCTCTCAGCAGCTGCTGGATGAAGTACGTTATATCTCGGCCTGCGATTGGAATGTGCTTGATACAGCTGCCGATCACGTATCCTTCAGCCTGTCAATAAAAGTAAATGGGAGAAGGACGTTGACAGGAACCCATCCAAATCTCAGAAAGGAGGAGTGAGGGATGGAGCCTGTAAACTCCTCCTCACTACCTATGGCTAGGAGGCTGAAGCACTTTAGGACTGACTCATTTAACTGCCGTAACTCCAACTCATCAGCAGTCTTACTCTACTCATTCAAGTGCTTCTCACCAGTGTATCTGTTGATAGAATATAAGGATGTTCCTAGTATTTTTTTTCTATCTTTTTCTTTTGAGGCTTTGCATTCAGTTCACAGTTCGTACAAGGTCAGGAAGACCTAAAAGGCCACCGATACATAACGCGGACGAGCAGCTGGACTTACTAGTCCTTGTTTTCTTTTTTAAATGAGGTTACTTCTAACAAAACTGTCAAAGAACTTCGTATCATACAATACTATTTTAGAATAAATGACCTGGCTCTACAGTAACAGTCACTTATGACATTACAATTGATATGAACCAAAATTAATTTTCCAAAGGCCAGGAGAATACATCAGCACAAACAGAGAAGGCTCAGAACACTGGCCCACACTGTAAGCCATGCTCATCTCAGAGGCCAGAATCTGGGCATTAAAGCATCTGGTCCAACTGCAGAGCATTTAAGGTTGCATCCGACCTCACCAGATCAGCTACAATAACATCCAAACAGATGAATTCAGAGAGTGCATTAGTAGCAAATGCTTAAAATTCCTTATGTACCTTACATACATGTAAAGTGTTTTTTCCTAACAAAGAATATTGTTCACAGAGTCATAAAAATTATAGTTAGTTTCATTGTAAAAGGTAGAGCTTTTTCTTCTGCTATCTACTTCAAGAATTAAAGCAGCATACTACTGTAGTTAATTTGTTTTTAAAAAATTACCCCCCCCCAAAAAAATAAAATAAACAAAATAAAACAACAACAACAAAATTTTTACAAGGTTGGAAATCTCAACTGCATACTAAGTCTTAACTAAAAGAAAAAAGCCACCTCAGATGAACTGCCACTACATGCCACTACCAAGATTAACAGAAAATTGCTGCATTATAAGTTTTGGTCATGACTAATGCTACTATTTTGTATAATAAAAATCACTAAGAAATTGAGGTTATAGTGGCAGAATAAAGTTTTCTTGTCTAAGACATTTTTAAACCTCCAAATACTGTGTATCTGGTTCTAACTGTACATTCTTCTCATCAAGGAAGGGCAGGCAGAAGACATATTTCCAACTACTTAGAATAAGAACACTATTAAATGCTCCATTTGTAACACTAACTATATGACTTTGTAAATGGGAACTCTTAAATACATAGAAAACAGTAATTTCACAGTTAAACTGCAAGTGTAAATGTGAATTATTTAATAACGTGCTTTTGCTTTTAGACTCCTGTTATATTGGAATAGATATTCAACATTATTATTTTCTTTGAGTCCTACCATAATTCAGTCAGAGAATACCATTGAATAAAGCAACAATAGCTCCATATAAATGGAAACCTCAGAGGTTACAGGACAGATTGTCCTCCAGTTCAGTTGTTACGTATAGTTTTGATGCATACTTACCACAGGGATAACGTGAGTGACACCATCCCCGCTGTCTATAACTGTGCCAGTCAGCGTCCGCTCTCCTACCTGTCGTGACGTCCAAGAGGCAGCTAAGGCAAGGACAGCCTGGCAAAGGAACAGGCAAAAAGGAATCTTAACTGCAGCACTGGCTTGCACCTCCCACTAACTGCTCCCAATAATACTGGAACAGGCAACACGTGAACTACAGTATAGTTTTAGCTCAACTTGTCACTCTGCTTTCAGTAGTCCTGCTCTTACCTGAACAGCAATATACAGCCCTGGAACATTGAAAGACTCGAACATGATTTCAGCAGTATATTCCCTATTTTCTGGAGTATTTAATGGAGGTTCAGTCTGTGGGACAAAAAACAAACAAGAAAGTAATTACCTAAACTCAAAAGAAACACATGACATTTCTCAAAAATTACTAAGAAAAAAATTTGGAAAAATGAGTCATTAAATGACTACACTGTGTAAAAGCAATAATGGGCAAAGAGTGCTTTTAAAGACAAATAGTAAATCACACAATTCAGCAAATATAACAGCTCTTCTGACAATAAGAGAATTTATGCAAACCACACTGCATGATGATTTGTATGAAAACAGGAAACAAAAGTGAGATAAAAGGTAATAGTTACTACTGTTTAAGAATATATCCCGATAGTCTCTTTTGTGACTTGCTTAGCTCATTAAATTTCTGCTTTCACTGAAAGAATCAAGCAATATCAACCTAAAATAGCAAAAGCTGCAGTTCACTTCATTTGAAGAATGTCAATTATTTAAAAACAATTCTAAGCCATTCATTAAAAAGTGGGATTTTTTTTTTTTAGGCAATCACTACAAAACAAGAGTTTATGACTGGCTGTAGAAATTTGACTAAGAGGAGCATATAATGTGTAATGCTGTGTAACAGCATATAATGTGTAATAATAGTATGCTGCCATTTTCATCATGACATGAACTATTAACTCTCCCCTGAAAGAGCACTCTGAACAGCATTACCGAGTATTTGAAAAAATATTCTTTCACTGCATCTACAAGGTAATGGAAGGGAACAGAGAAAACGGAGCCAGACTCCCTTGTTTGAGTGATAAGACGAGAGCCCTTGGACACACATTGCAAAGAGGGAGTCCTAATTAGATAGCAGGGGAAAAAGTTACCACAAAGTTGTCAAATATTGGAAAGGGATCAAACACATTATGGAGTCTCCACCCTTAGCAATATTCAAAACCCCGCTGAGCGAGGCCCCAAGCAACCTGACCTAACTAAACCTGCTTCAAGCAGCGTGTTACGTTAGATGACCTCCAGAGATCCCTTCCAACCTATTCCAGGATTTTATTTGTGTGCTTTAATAAGAATAGCTAAGACCTCCAATTCCAAACATGTATAAACTTCACATTAAAATACACCACCTATTTCAGCATCTTAGATAAAATATAAGGAACAGCAGAAGATTCAGAACAACACTGGCCTCAATTCAATCTAAGCTGCCCAAGTATGACTCTCAATTCTTTGAAATTCATGAAAAACGAGAGAAAAAAAATCTCTAGACACACCGTGCAGGTGGCAGCATTGCTAAAGTCAAAGTAACTGCAATTATGTAAAGCAAAAAAGCACAGGTTTACGAAGAAATTGACTCAAAGTTTTAATAATCATGTGTGATATCATTATTAAATTCAGCAGATAAAAAGGAGTACAGAGGCATCTGTGGGGGGAAATAAAAAAGGGAAAAGCCTGCAGTTTAGAAACTCAAACTTTTAATATCTTTAGATATTTAAAAGAACAATCTGGAGGGGAGATAAGGCAGGAGCAGAAAGTTTCAAGTAGTTCACATTTACTTGAGCTTTCAAAATAAGCACGTTCATATTTAAGAATTACTACATAATCAACATAAATAGTTTCTTAAGACTGGTAACAATGTTAAGTAAGGCATGCTTTACCTACCAAAAGAAAATAATGATCCTCGGGTTCCGCCCTTAGATATTTAAAGATTACTTGTTCCATAAACCTCTCCATCAGGTCCCAGTCTTCAACTATGCCATGGCGGATGGGCCACTGTTGCAGGAAAATATCAAAATATAAAGTGAAATATAAACATAAAGAAAAATCTGTTTGCTTAGCTGTTGTAAAAGGTCTGGGTCTACATCTAAGATCCTTGTGTTTTTTTCCCTACCCCAGTTTGTTACTTATTTGAAATTCAGATTCTCTTGCTGACCTTGAATAGCAGGGACAGCAACATGGCACTTACCCAGTACAAAAAAAAACAACAAAAAAAGAACAAGCAAACAAAAGAACCCTCATGTTGGTACCAGACAAATGAAAGGTTCTCCCAGTCCAATAACCCAATTCCAGCATGGCTGACAGGGGATGCCTGGGAACAAGAAAGAACCCAACTAACTCCCCACTCTTCCAACTACCAACTCTGAGTTTCCTTCACAAGAAACATATATTCGCACATTTTTGCAAATTCCCCCAAACTCCTGAAAGTTCGCAAAAACTTATATGATAACAAACATTGTTACCAATAATTATCCAATGAATATCCATCAGAAGCTATTTACTACATAGCTGAAACTTTCTAAAGAGTATTAGAAAATTGATTATTTCTCTTAATACCTTGGTTGCGTAAGTTGGTTTTTCTATTGCTTCATCGCCAATAAAGAAGTCTAAATCATCAACACCTTTCAAAACCCTCCTTTGTGCTTGATCAACCACTTTTGCTGATTCTTTGATAGCAATACCTTTAACAAAGAACAGATAAACAATATTTATTATAATATAACCTCGAAGTAAAATAGGAAAACAATAACTTAAATTTGAACCAAAGTAAACATAGTTAAGATTTATAAATTAACACTATACAGACCTAACTACAAGGTTTGTTAGATGTTCAACATACAATCAGGAAGATAAAAATACAAAAGGAATCACTGAGGTAGCATATTCCTATAGATCTCACTTTAGTTGGCAACTAAAGTTTTTACTTCACTAGTTTGGTTTCCAGACACCTTATAGTGAGATATGGCATAAAAAGAAGGGACTGAAAAGCTATTTAATAAGGGAAAGAAAAAAACAAACAACAAAAAAAATAGAAGGAAGCAGGAAAGTATAAGACATGCATTACTATTTCAGAAAATAGAAGGATTTTTTTTTTCTCAAGTGTATGAGGCTACCTGATGCATTTTTGGTTGCTTTAATACAGATTTCACACAAAGCCTACAGATGTTTAATTTTGTCCTTTTAACTCTATTAGTATCTTATTGTTGAGAATACACTGGAGAAACAAAGAACAAAATTATAAATCTCTCCTGGCAAAACTCAAGTTTGTGTCTTGCTAATTTATTCCTACCAGGATAATTTTCCATCACAAAGAGAGAGAGAGAAAAAAAAAAAAAAGAACAAGCTAATTAGAAAAATATCGACTAAGGCTAAACACAGGATCCTGAAAACACAAATCAATTATTAGCTTTCAGAAAAACACAGGTGTTCCCTTCATGATCTTCATCTGCCCCGATCCCAGGTAATCAGGGCTACAGCACCAGCAATGCCTCATTTTTTTCAAACCTTACTTATTACCTTTAAAACAGTAGCCATTACACAAATAATAAAACTCACATATTTAAGAATTATCAGCATTATTATTAGGATGAATTTTTCAAAGGTCACGATCGCTAAGATTCCTCAAAGGCAGAATTCTTCTGCTCACACTTACCTTAAGTGAGAAGTTGTATTCACTTAGTTCCAAGACAAACATTATTAAAATGGCTTTTGTGGCCTCAAGTTGGCAGGGCAGGGACTACACAGCTACAGGTTTTGGTAATTTACAGCATAGTAGGTTAAAGCACCATTAGTTTGTGCAGAATCCTTCTCCTCCTCTCCCCACAAAGAGCAATAAGAGATGGGAGCAATAAGAGTCAGGAAATGTATAAATAGCTAAATATTGTGAAAGACTGAGCAGAATAAGCCAGAAAAAAAGTTATTCTGAGCTTCTTAGGAAGAAAATTGAATCCTACTGTAACTTCTGTAGTAGCATAACATATTATGAGAGAGGAAGCCTGGAGGCTGAAATTGAGGGGAGACATAGAAGCCAAGTCATCAATCTTGCAAAGTATTTTTACAGTCATCATTAAGGAGCTTATACATTCTTAGGAAATTCAGCTACCTGGATATGCGTTATCTTCAAGAAGTTTCAAGTAAGATACTATCACCTGCCACACCACTCTAGAGACTTTCAAGCTAAAGTTACGTGCTGCTACCAGCCTCTACATTTACTGCAGATTTGAAGGGAGCCTCTGTGCTGCTGCTTTTGAAAGTCAGAAGAAAAGCAAGAACCACGTTCTGAAAATACAAACAGGAAAATAAATCTTGCTAAAACAAGAGCTACATTATGATTCAGTCTGAAGATGGGAAGCAATCCAAAAATGTCACAGAATGCTTGGAAAAACTATAAAAGGCTTTATAAAAAAAAAAAAAAAGAGGATATACTTCTAGCAAACAATTTTTTTCTTAACCACTGCTCCAACCTTTTGTTTAATATACATGTGAAGAAAAGGCTGCCTAACATTTAAACTATAACAGATAATCTGAAAATGATGAAAGAATTAGAACATCTGCAAATCAGAAATAAATTGATTCCAGTGTTAATATAAGCTAAGAAAGGGTTTAAAATAAGCGAATGAAAAACACCTAAGATGAATGATCCAAGAGACCTAATAAGCAGCAAGGAGAAGAGCAGCGAACATGCTAGGGGAAATGAAGCAGTCTCTGAAGAAAACAGGCCCTATATATTCTTATTTAGTCCATTCTCCAAGGAAGCACTTGCTACTTCTGCAGAAGATATTCAAAATTAAAACAAGCACACAAGGCAAAAGGAGTGGGAGATAAAATTTTAAGAGTAGGAGTAAGATAAGAAACAAGTGAACAACAGAGGAGGAATGCTGCTTGAACCTGTTTAACAGCAAATATTTCTTTTAGAGAACTACATAGATAAAAATTCGATCACCACTACTGAAAATAAAACGAGAAGCTACAATATTCATTTGAAGTGTGGATCACAAAGATAAATAAAATAAAGAACTGTTTTAATAGGAAGTATTTTTGGGTCCTTTTTTTTTTTTTACTTTGAAACTAACTACTACTGTATTCTATTCCTCATTTCTCTAGTGTGGATTGCACTAGTGCTATTTTATTTTATTTCAGGTAGAGAATTAATGTAAAATCATGTAGTCAGTGTAGTTACCCGAGCTGGCTTAGAGTACAAATGAGGAAAAAATTGCATCCTTTCATTAAGATTTGTAGGCAAAACCATTTCAGCTGCAGTAGCAGTTAGTTGATACTGTTGCATGTCATTGCTTTTTGGGGAGTTTAGGTTTAAGATGCAGGGCATCAAAGCTAGAGTTTTTGTGTGAAAAACAAGACTGCAAAATGTGTGTCTGTATAAAGCAAAATAGAGAGGCAAACCAAATGAAATTCATGTGGAAGACCAAATGGAAAACTATACATTAAAAGTCAATGCAGAATTGAGTGTTCTTCAGTTGCATAAAAACAAGATAATGTATTTTCTGAATTTACTCTAGCTTTCCATGCAAATTGCCTTTGAAGAATGTTTAAATGACAGCTTGATCTATCAAGTTTTAATTTGCAGCAATTATCCCTAATTATTACTATTTATAGCTTTCTTTTCATGTTGTGTTCACATAGAAAATTGTGTTTGTTTATTATTCCTTTTTACTTAATTACTTTGGCCCAGGTGAACAAAGATAAAATGCTAAGATGTATAAGAGGTCAAAAGGTGAAGTATTTCTAAAGGAAATTGGTTGAGTTCCACTCCCTATTCTACAACTCTATTGCTTTACACGGCAGGAACACTTCAGAAATATTTATCGTTACAGTCAACTGAAGTTTCATTAGGTTTATCACTCAACAGGCAAAGAAACCTTCTAAAAAGTAAATATATAAATGCTACTCTACATTAACATGGTCTCAGCTGCAAGAAATATACTTGAAAGATTCCTTTATTATTTTAGTGAATTTACCTTTCAAAGTCATCACTTTTAGCAAAATACAATGAGACGTATGATTTTTGAAGTCACTCATTTTAACTGCTTTTTTTACATAGCAAGTTACAGAAACACTAAGTGTAATTTCAGTGCTCATTTACAAATAACAAATACTTACATGAAGGAATGATAAACTGTGGTTCAGTATTACCAGCATAACCGAGCTTTGTATACCTATTAAAACAACAAAATGATAGTATTTAATACCACAAATACATTTTACTTTTTCTTAAATAAATGTATGCCTCTTCCCACACTAAAAAAAAAGATTTTCTTCTTTTTATTATCACAGAAACATGTCTCCTTTTCAAAAAAGTATCAGCACTGCTTCCTACCACTAGGTAGGTACAAGTGCTAAATTCCACGCAAGTTAAAAGCTTCCTACAAAACATATGAAGTACAAGCCAATTATTCAGTGTTTAGGAGAAAAATGTAGAGCTAGAGCAGATGCTCTTCCCTGCTCAAAAATTAGCAGTTCACCAGAAACATTTCCACATAATAGAAGCCCATAGCAGAAGTGTTTCTATAACTGCTAATTACAGGAAAATAAATTCCCTTGCCAATGGACTGTCAGCTGGACTTGAGGAAGGACTGATAATGATAATTTCAGAAATATGCTTCCTAAGGCACACTGCCACAGCTAGGTATAACAGCTGGCAATGCAGCAACCAAATTCCACTTAATAAATGGAAAATAGTTTAGAAAAAAATGTTTAAGGTCAACAAGAATAAGAAGAAAAAAAATACACACCTCCACCAATCAAACTTCCAGATTTTACAATGGATACATGCATCACATTTATTCAGAAGAAAAATGAAGAAATGAAAATGACTACAGAAATGAAGTACTGAAACTATCAAGTCGCTAGAAATGTTGTGCTCAGACATACAAAATGTTTTCAGTAAAAGACCTAATTAGAACAGTACCCCCTTTGCCGCCCACAGAGGATGGACTATTGAAGTAAAGATGAAGATTCGACAACAGCATAGACAAATCTTAAAACCTTTAAACCAAAATGCATAACACATTTAAGAGTTACAGTCCATGTACAAGTTTTTAAACAGACACACATGTAACAACTGTCTCATTCTTGAAGTAGCCAAATGTAGCAACTACATTACCAGGATCAGCAAAAAGCATAAGACATTGCAGCTACATTTCTTTAATTTCTGGCTCTCAAATATAAACCCAGAAAGCTTTAAACAATGTAACAGAGTACTAGCTGTAACAAAAGCCATAAATCTTTATCAGCAGCACCAACAGACCAGCTGGTTTTTTTTTTTTTTTTTTTGTTTTGTTTTTTTTTATAAGCGAGAACAGGCACGCTGCTGCAGGAGGCTTTGCCAGGATGCTAATGATGCAGCAATTTGCGCACACGCTCAGTAATGTCTACACAAGGTCAGCTGCTGACATGAGTTGTGCACAATAGTGCTGGGCCAGGAGAAATGCCATTTTCGATGAAAAGGAAGTTAAATTTATCTCTAAATAACAAAGCAATTAGGACCTCATCTAACATCAGCATGCTTTGCAAGAGAAGTATTTAAAAGGAGGGGGTAAACTCCATCTTGTCGATACTGCATTGTAACAACTGGGAGGAACCATGAGAAAAAAAAAAAAAAAAAGATACTTTATTTTGATCAACATTAATGTTTGCTGAAAAAGAAAACTTCACAGACAAAATATTATATATACTGGAAAATGACAAAAATCTAATGCCAGCAAGAAATTAGTTCCTGGTAAGGAGATCAGGACATGCAACTCTGACACTGAAGACTCAGGTCACAACAAACAATTCCACAACTTCCTGTGAAGTGAGGGGAGAGGATCCCAACTGTTGGAGTTGAACATACAAAGTGCAGTTAATAATACTTGAAAATTAAGCATCTCTATTCCTCAAAACGCATTCGGTTTCTGGCAACATTAATGCACTTTCATTTACCCTCCTCTCTTCTCCCTGCCATCAAACACAGTCTTGATTCCTCAAGTAAAGCTTTTGATTCTAATTTAAAAATAAAATTGTCTGCAGGGTTAACACCTGTGCGCCATTTGCATGTGTAAAATGAAGCTACGCATGTAAATAACATAAGTAACAAATCTCACAGTAATTAATAAATCTCACTCTCCTTTATGAACTTCTGGTTTTACGTAACACCTTAGACCTCCTAACTATTAAATCTCAGGTAGCTTCAGATAGCACTGCAGCTCAGTTTCAGAATCAGAAGATAAATAAAACCACTATTTGAACAGAGCTGGGACTCTGCATGCTGTTAGGAGCTCTGAAAATAAACCAGAAGTGCCCTAAAAAGAGGGAAAAAAGAATGGGGGGGAAGGGGAGGGAAAAAAAAAAAAAAAAAAAAGACCACACCACATTTAAAGTCTTTGATGATCAAACATGGCATTTATTTCAAAGAAACATAAAACTGAACTGCTGCAGGTAACATGTTGCTTAGTTGCTTGTGGTGTGGGAAACCATCCAGCATACACATGCACATCCAGCAGACTGAAAGAAAAATAGTCAAATGAAAGATGTGTTTTAAATAAATAAAAAAATAAAATAAAAACCACACACATCTGTATTCAGGCATAAAATCAGAATATCTAAAAATACTATGGCTAACTCAGCAAGAAAACAAAAACACACACAAAACTTCAGACTCAGGAAAGGAGCAGTCTCATTTTAAGAAGATTTAAAAAAATAAAAAAATAACACACACGGATTTTGGTCGCTGAATAATAGAGGATTGCAACAGCAACTGCCTAAACTAGCCTCCAAATCAAGGATTCGCATTTCTACTACATCAAGATTTCCTTGTCACATTCTTTCTTCCCCATTAGCGATACCACTTACCCACCAGTCAGGGCAATAACCTGGTGTTACCTACTGCTTTCTCAAGCCTTTCCTTACAGCTCTTAACTTCTTGTGGCACAGACGATCATTTTGTGGTATTTATACAGTGACGCACTACAGGATTCTGAACAGTACCTAGGGCTGCTAGGGACTATCGTAATACATATAATAAAACAGTAAACTTAATTTTTATAGCTAATCATATGGACAGAAAATGAAGTCTATAGAAAAAAAGCGAGATAAAAAAGGTAAGAAATGATCTAGTACATTAATAAAAAGTTGATACAAATATTCAGGTTGATACAAAGGCAATACCTAGACAAAATTTGTTTTAAAACCAAGAACTTTTGCAAAAACAAGGCTTTATGCAGATTGAATCCAACCATTGCCACATAAAATAAACAATATTTAAATCACTGGGGAAAAAAAGTGATATCTTGGGCAAGCTGTATTTTGCACATACAGAAGCCTTCCACAAAGCAGTTCATACATAGCAAAAAGTGTCTGACTAACGTATGATTCATAGGCTCAATAAGACACACCCAGGCTTATTAAGAGCAGCAATTAAGTAGCTTCTGTCACTACAGAAGTGAATTCTGATATTAAAAATATCATATATCACATTGGCTGTACCAATATAGTATCACATTTGCCTAGTAAATTGTATCTTTTGCTTGTCATATTAAAAAGTCACAGGAGTGACTTAAGTAGTGCAAGGTACACACATGACTTGAGACAAACTTAACTTTCCCACACAGAATTTGGAGCTTCTAGCAGAACAAGGTAGTATGCAGATGGATATAAAAATCAGCTAAGCTAGAACTTCTATTAAAATCTGTAATACAGAACTGAGTTACAAAATCCCAAAGATAACAAGCAGCACTTGGTCACTCTGGTTCTGGTTTTCCCTTCTAGTTCATTTCCATGTCCATCTACCCTAAGGTGTTTCTGCAGCCCCAATAGCTTGGGTAAAAAGCGAGGGAAAAAGACCTATGGGAAAAAGCATTTTCTGTTGGATTATTGTTTCCCTTTATTTTACTTTGCAGCGTAAATTACTAAGTATCTCCAACCAGTCCACAACATCTTGACAGATCTGAGAAACAGAGAGAAAATACACATATCCCTGCACAGTTTGTGTAAATTAAGGGCTCTGATTTCCCAGGGATTTCCCTGCAACTTCCTCAAAAGGCTGATTAGTTCTCAACGCTGGCCCAGCTACCAGCTTGCATGGTTACAGCAACGTGACAAACATGAATATAATTTTTTCTAGACATTTATACCACAAAATGAGGTGCTAAGGAAAGTTGCTATGATCTAACTCCACTAAGCCAATTTTAACTATCAATAAAGTCTCTACAAAGTCACATTCATTTCAAATCGACACCGTGAAATTAAAAAGTAGTTCTGTACTGATATGCATGAGAAGAGATTTCTGGAAGGATGTCCAAAAGGCTCTTAAATGCTTTCAACTGCACTAATGTGATTTCTCCTATATGCTCTCTCACCTAGAATAAATGTTTCTAAAACGATGACATGAGAGCAATAATAAATTCCCCTGAAAGTTACTTACCACTCAGGCAGACAATTTTAAAGCCAAAAGGAAACAGCATTGATAGCAAGAACTTTTAATGAGAATGCCATTAAAGAGCTGAGTCTACAGACCACAAGCCATGACTGCTGTTCCTTTTCTCCATTTCTTTCCTGTCCACAGTAAACACATTCTCCCAAAATACGCAACCTAACAAAATTGCTATTTTAACAAAAAGACTGGAAAGCTCAGGGAACATTTACTTTCCAATACTCTGTGAAGTAACACAAAAACGATGGTGAAAAGGAGTAAAGACATCCTGTCTCTTCACAAAAGGTTCTCAACTCTGTCACCAGGTGAAGACTGGTTAAGTAGCAGCAGATCATGAGTAAACCGTGAAGAAAAGGAATTGATTATGAGAAGAGTGGGACCTGCATAACATACTAGTTTATTATCTCTTTTCAAATCACAGAAGCACAGAATGGCTGAGGTTGGATGGGATCTCTAGAGATCATCTAGTCCAACTCCACTGTTCAAGCGGTGACACCCAGAGCACACTGAACAGGATCGCATCCATGTGGGTTTTGAAGAAGACCAGAAGGAACGACTCCATCACTTCTCTGGGCAGCCTGCTCCAGCGTTCTGTAAAGAGGTTCTTCCTCATATGCAGATGAGACTTCCTGTGTTTCAATTTGTACCCTTGTCCTGTCACCAGCCACCACCGAGAAGAGTTTGGCCCCATCCTCCCTACATACTCCCCTCAGGTATTTCAGGTATTCGTACATATTGACCAGATCC